AGAGAGAGAGAGAGACTCATTTCTGGAATTTTGGCCTGGCATCGAAACCACCAAGTTACTAAGCATTTCCTTTCCTGATTTCCTTCTTCTACATCCCTAAAGTAGCAAGGAGACCTGCGATTGTGCCCAGTTGTTCTCCGAGCCACTGGCCGCCCCATTCCCCGCATCCACTGTGCACGAACCAGGTTATGAATAGGGAAAAGGAAACCCGGGGATAAATAAAAGCAATTTCTTTCCTGTCTTCTTCTAGCTTCATTTCTCATTAAAAAAAAAATCACAGATGCCTGCACAAGGTACCCTGAAGGTGTTTATCTCTGGGAGTATGGGAGGGGCTGGTGCAGATCTGTCTTCAACTTGCTGAGTTTTACCTAAAAATTCATGAGGTTTCTGCAGTAGTTAAACGTGCATTCTGGTTTGAATGCGTTCATAGTATAATATTCTCTTCCCAAATGTTAAAGTATATCAATGTTCCAGGTGCTCACGACATGTTTATTCTGGGGTTCCTCCTTCCTACTCCTGCCTGTGCTGCCTGCTCCAGAATGAGTAGCATGACTCCGGAATATCCCACTCTTCCTACATTGGAAGAGAAAGAGGTTCCTATGTTCCCAAAAGAATGAGGCGGGAGAAACTGTGTTTGTGCCCTGATTTCATCTTCTCCTCTAAGCCTATGAAGGACCCTCTCTTCCACTCCCAAATTAAAAGAAAGAAAAAGAAAGAGCTGTCTGGATGTTTCTTACTCCTCTCAAACGTGAGATTGAGAGTCCCTAAGAATGTGACCAAAACAGTGCAAGAATTCCTCTTTCTAAAGGAAGAGAGAGAGAGAGAGAGAGAGAGAGAGAGAGAGAGAGATGAGGGAGAGGTGCACCAGAGGCCCTTTTGTGAGAATATTAGTAAAATCCAAATCCAAGATGTGTCTGTGTGGCCTCATAAATATAAATAAAGGCAGCTTCATGAGTAGAAAAATCAAAGCATTTTGAATTATTTGAAGAGATTCTGTGTTTTTTTTAAAGTAGCTGTGTGATTTGGGGGGACGTTCCTGAAACTTTCTCTGCCTGCATTCTCTAAGGTTGTGGTAAAGATTTAATAAAATATATTAAGCCCTTAATGCGGTATCTGGTAATAGTAGGTACACTGTTGTACTATTTTTCTCAGTCTTTCTCTTGAAGAAAGATAGATTAAAAAGCTCACCTCAGACCTGACGTTAGCCCCATTATTAATTGCTGTGTGAACATAGGCAAGCTGCTTATCCTATCTTGGCCTCCGTTTACTTGAGTATGAAGTCAGAGAAGGGTGTTAGGAAATCTCTGGAATTCCCTCTGGCTTGAAGGTGTGTTCTCAGTGTTTGCCTCAGGAGCAGGGTTTAAACACATTAGTGTTCAGCAACAGAATTTAAAAAGCAACACACGGTGTCCCTGGGGACTGCTAAACCCGCTAGAGGAAGCGCAGGGTTCTCATCCGGGCATTTGTTCCCCTGCTGGCCTTGCACCTGGCTGTGACGTAGGTGTCCCAGGCCTCCGGGGTGCGTGTTTGCTTTTCAGAGAAGGACACTTGCACTTTCTCACCTGTGCCCATGGTGCCAGTGCCCAAGAGAGCTAGCTCAAGCTGACAGGGTTAAGTGTTTCTGAACTGGGAATTTAGCATTAGCCCAACTCACATCCAGGCAACAGGGGCTGTTTTATTAAGCTAATAGAGGGAGCCCAGTTTGTCGAAGGAACAAGAGCCCTGTTATTTGGATGCTCTGCAATAGCCTTATTAAGCTCGGGGAAGGAGGGAGGATTTCCTGTTTGGAGAAAATGCAACACTGTCCAAAGATCTCGAGCTTTGCCAAGGACATTTGGACAATGAAGTGCTGCAGGTGCAATGAAGTCATATTTCAGACCAGGGGTGACCTTGGAAAGTAAATCAGAAATGCTGGAGATGACAAATCAGGCTGTGACTGCTGGTGATGAAAAAGAATGGTCCGGGTGGGATGGGTTGAACAAAGTCCCTCTGCTTCTTGTTTGGTGCAGTAGGGCCTCTCTGGTGCCTTCGTGTTGCCACAGGTGGAAAAATGGATAGGAGTTGTGGATGAGGCCAGAGGCCAGCATGCAAGAAGCCAATCTGGTACATTTATTATGGCCACTCACACCTGGTCTCTGCTTTTTCACTGTGGGATGTTTGTGGAAGGCTTCCTTTTAATCAGTGGTGATCCATCAGCTTCTTCTTTTGTTTAATTTTTCATTTTATTCTTTTTCCTAGCTGTTTTTCAAAGCCGAACCAGCCTAAGCAAATCCAGGGTGGATACAGATAGTATGAACTCCAAGTAATTTTTTCCAACTGGACCCGGAATCTACACTAATAAATTAAAATAGACGCTAGAGTTGTTTTCCCTACTTGCTTTTGGAAGTTTTCATTTCATCTGTGAGTGTCGAAATACTCCGGTATTACTGAGGAGACCTTTACACACATGTGAGGCGCTGGGATGAGGAAGGTGCAGAGGTTTGGGGGAAGAAGCTAGCCAGAGATCTGTAGGAATGTGAGTGAAGGGCCCTGCATATACAGCTAGAGAGAGGCTATATGCACCACCCAGAGCCAGCCCTAGGACTCACATTACCCTACAGGCTGGAACTTCTCTGTCATCATCACCCGCACAAAAAGGGAACACCCAGGAAGACCAGGCAGGGTTGAGATGCAGCACGACAGAATCTGGATGAGAAGCAGATCTGCAAAACTCACAGATCCACCCCAGGCTTCAGAGGTCACCAAGACCCATCTCGTAGTCTTGGCAAATTTTGAGGCAAGTGTGAAAACGAGAGATCCCACTCTCTTGTGGGATTATTGAAATCAAACCGAACTTCAATCTTTCAGTTTCCTTATGGAAGTTTTAAGAACAGTGAGATGCAAATAGAGTTGGAAAGTGATCCTCTCCCACCCTTCCCTCTGCTTCGGAGGGAAAGAAATGGAACTAGAGAATTAGACTGAATAGGTAGGAATTTGGTGATAGGAAAGCGGGGAATGAAAAAAATCACACAGCCCAGGTAAGCGGTCTCATATTTTCTGAAATTCTGTGTGGAGGGAGGAAGGAAGGGAGGGAGAAGGTGAGGTGAAGGAGGAGAAAGAAACAAGTCCACGCCCAGGAGCATTTGCAAATCCTGGTCACCGGCCAGTCTCTTTTCAAGCCTCTAAACTTGGTGTGTCCACTGCTCTCTCATGTTCCCTTTGTATTTCTCCAGAGAAGAGGACAGAGAGGAGCTCATAAAACCTTTCTCAATAGATGCTTTAAAAAGAGATCTTTGAAAAGATTCTTTAATGACTCTTTGTCCCTTGATTTATAGCTCTGCTATTGGACTAGATAGTAAAGTAAGAATGTGTTTAGGACTGTTTGGTTTAGCATGGGGCTCACTGGCAACCTTGGTTCTTTGAGCTTGAGTTTGAAATAGCAGTTTGTAGTGCGTAGGGAGCTGGTTGGTCTCCATGGGGGAAGAAACCGGGTGTCAGATGTCCATTACTTTACTGATAGTGGAGTTGGGTTGGTGGTAGATGAGTGGTGGGGTTGATTTAAATATTCATGGAAGTTTGCTCTTCATCTCTTTGCTGTCATTTTGTTTTCGTCTCCCATATAGATTAGTCTTGATTCTTGGTTTGCAGGGAGGTCTCCTGGAAACCAGGGGAGCCCAGCTGTTCTCAAAGGGTTTCCCCTGGGTCTCTGGAGGTGTTTTGTGCGCCACCTTGTGGTCGCTTCTAGTAAGACCACACTTTTTTTTTTCCAGTACGGGATTGGGGGGTGGGGGGGGGGACTGAACTCAGGGCCTTGAGCTTGTGAGGCAAGGTGCCATTGAGCTACATCCCCAGCCCTGCTCCATTTGTGTTTATGGCCAGCACTTTCCTACACATTGTCATGCCTGATAGTGCATCTTTACATCTGACGCCTTCCCTTCCAGAAGTAACCCTGGAAAATATGAATGTAACATATTGTAAACAATCCTTATGTGATAGGAAACACAAAAAGGAGAAACTGCCTGGGTCTGTCAGTGAATCTATTACACTCACTGGTAGTTGATTTTGATCTTTTTGCTACTTTTTTTTTTTTGGTGTAGGTATATACTCTCAAATGTCTTCATTGGACTGCCTTATGGCAGGGTCTGCTGGTTTTCCTTCTGAGATCCTTTGGTGTCCTTGCACCTCTCTGACATCCTCCCCTGGGAAGAGCACAGGTTTTTGGAGGGACAGGATAAGCAAGCATCAGCTAAGAAGTCAGAAGCAGCTTCTTAGTGAAGAAGCTCAGGGAAGAAGTTAGGTGAGTCAAGTTAAGAACCTTTGAGTCAAGTTGACCATAGGCTCTGGGAAGACAGTAGAACAGTCTCCTAAAAATGGTTAAGAAAAAAAAAATCAACAGTAACAAGAACAACAAAAAACACCTCAGGAGAAAAGGACTTTACTTCACAAAAGGAATGGTGAACTGATCTTTGAAGTTCCTTTCTTGCTTTAAAATTCTCTAAAATGCAACTAGGCAATGTTGCGGATACTATTTATAAAAATGTTCTGTAGGGTAAAATGGTTCCAGAGAGGCAGGCTTTGGTTTCCCCTGATGTTTCTTGACTTTCTCCTGAACTGATGACACACAATCATGTTCCGTTTCAGTTCTGCTGATGAGGTGGGCTGTCCTAGCACACTCAGGTCCCTGGTACTGCTTTTACAGACACAGTTCAGCCTCCTCCTAGGCATTGTTTTGTGGTGTGTGTGTGTGTGTGTGTGTGTGTGTGGATACAGGTGCATGTGTTTCACTTCTGATTCTGAATCAACCTCTCTTTCCTTCCCTCCCTCCCTTCCTCCTGTTCTTCTTTCCTTCCTTCCTTCTGTCTCTCCACACTGTGACCTAAGTGAGTTCTTTCACCAATACACATTCCTACTCTCAAATTTTCAGGTCATAGACTAGCATTATTGATGTTAAAGCTAAAAGGGAAATTAGAAGTTATTCTAGTCTAATTTCTCATCCAACGGGTGAGGACACTGAGGACAAGCGGGGTGGAACTACCTAGCCAGTCACACAGCTGCGTAAGGGCAGAGGCGAGCCTTTGCCTCAGCCCCCAGCTCCTCCTCGTCCAGGAAGCTTCCTTCCCCTCATTCTGGCCCCCGTCTCTAGTTAACTCTTGTTTAATGTTTCTTCTAGTTTTTTGAAACCTTCCGTGAACTGAAAAATAAATGTACCACCTACATTTTTTTTTTGACCCCGGGTGTGTAGCAGATGAGGTCTTGCTGGAAGCCACTGAAGAGAAGGAGCCTGTGGGACAGGGCAGACTGACTCCATCCTCACAGCCCCGGAAGTACATCTATCAGTCTAAGGGATTATCTGTCTCTTCCTGGTTATTAAAGCTTGTTTAGAGGGTGATGTTTCCATTAGAAAATTACCAACTCTCAGGCTTATCTAGTCACTGGTCGGCAAAGGCACAGATGCCCAGTTTGGCAAACGCGGTCTCTACAAGAACTAGACTAGGGCTCCTGGGGGATTAGGGGGAGGAAGGGAAAAGGCAGCTGTGGCCCTGGGTGTGACTTTGGATGGTTGCTGCAGGATGGTTGCAGCTGGCATCGGATTTGGAGAAGTTAAAAGTTTTTAGAACCCTGGGCTTAACGATCAAACCATGCCGGCGGAGACAGCACATCTCACAACACAGGCACGTGCCCACAGTGCTCCCCTTTGCACCTTTGGGTTTCTAGATGCAATTTCCTCTGGCACTTTTCATTTTTCCTTTCAAAAGCAGAATAATAAAAGAAGATGGAGAAAGGCTTCTCATGATCTCCCCTCATTAAGGGGTCATTTCTGTTTCTCACAGGACCAATTTTTTTTAAAAAAAGCCCCAAAGTAAATATTCCATCTCTTCCCAGGATTAGTAATAGGAGAACGGCTGGCTGGTCATATTGCTTCTTCTTCTGACTTTCATTAAGCCACCTACACCAAGGAGAGCCTGGCTGATGACATAAATAAGGCCTTCAGTTTGCAAATTCAGAAAAATAATCTGTGATAAAGCAGAACAGAAATGGTAAAAATGGAACTAGGCAGGATCTGTTTTCCATGGGGCTTATAATCGCTAGGGCAGGTGCCCTTATTTCTGCTTTTTCTGTCTTTTCTGCAGAGCTTGACCCAAAAGTGCTATAGACAAATACCATCTCCCCTTCCCACCCTTGAAAAAGGTTCCTGTGTGGCCGACCTGAGGGAGAAGTGATTTGAGACCCACAAGGACACAACCACTGTACAACCCAGTGCCAGTGGCAAGCAACATCCTGGGAACTAGATCTCAAAACAGCTGTTGGGGTGATAAGATCGTAGGCTGTAAGGTAGATTGAAATCAGGCGAGGATTGAGCATAGCTAGAAAAGAGGCCTCACTGCTCTGGAAAAGTGAGAGTTTCAGAACGAGAACTTTGGCCCATTCCAAAGGACGAGGGCGGCTGGGTCAGGGTGAGGTTGATCTCTTCCCTCTTCAGGGTGCTGCTGGCCAGGCTCTCTTGCTGAGACTTCTCTGGGCTGGTGTGACTACCTGATTATCCAAGGCTATGACCCGATTACCAGTACCTCAAAGGTGGAGGCATCTCAAGAAGACAGAAAAAGAGGTGAACACCTATTGCCCTAACAAGTGTCCTCCATGATTTGTCTTCGAATTGGTCATTTAAGTGAACATCTACTTTTCCTCCTTGGTGGGAAAGGAGGGGAATGTTAGGGATGACAGGTTAGGAGGGAGAGGGCAGCCATGGGGCCGGGCTCCAAGCAGTAGAAACTACAGTAGATAGTAGTCAGGTGACCCCTGCCTCAGCCCTGCTTCCTTCAGATACCGTTACTATGTTGCGAAGCACATTACTATCACCCTCCCCCCTTGTATCATATTATAAAATACAAACAAATGACAGAAAAGATCGTTTGGCTTGTGGCTGCCCGCTACTCAGAACTGTAAGGCCCGCCGTTTCCTCCCTGCTGAGAGACGGTGGTTGTAGGGCCGCATCTTCATTTCCACAAAGGGTATGGAGAACTCGTGGCCTTTCCAGTGGTACCAGTTGATCCCCTGGGTGTGAAACAGATAAACACATCAGTGTACTCTTCCCCCTCCGTGGGAGACCCTACTTGAAAAGAAGGGAAATGATAGGACCAGGCAACTGAGGGGTGGGTTTAGCTACTTCAGTTAACAAGTAGCTTTAAGGCTGAGCTCCTACTGATGAGAAAGGAGCAAAGTCTCGGTCCAGCTTTCCCCTTAAACTTGCCTGTGGCCCGGGTCCTTACTGCAGGTCACTCCTCACTCCAGTTGTACGTCTCTGGCTTTCAGGAACTGTGCATGCACCAGTAAATGGTGGTGAATTTCAAAATCCCAATAATGTGGAAGCATTTTGCAGAGACTACTCTTTGCTTGCTCCTGATAGGATACTCAGGTGGTCTCCACCTGGAGTGACTGACCTTCTGGGTTTGCCCAGAACTGCAGGGTTTCCCTGGATGTGGCTTTCCAGTGTCAACACTGAGAAAGTTTCAGTTGGTCCAACTGTCCCCTTATTATCCAGCCCGGCCTGTGGAAGAGTCTGGTTCATGGGCATTTCTGCTCTCTCTCTCTTCCTGGGCACTTTAGGATGAAGTTGAAGCTGTTCCTAGAATTGATGAGCTCCCCCCACAATGAAATGACATGGAAGTTGACTGGCCGTCAGGGGCCAGTCTGAGTGGGTTCTAGCTCCAGATGCTTCCCAGAGGAAGGAAAGGAGCACCTGGACCTTCCTCTGGCTTCCACTCCATGCTGTCCTCATCCCAGTGTCGGTTACACCTTTCTCTTTATAATAGTAGTCTTTTCCAGGACTCTAAGTGTTTCTTTTAAAAAAGAGGAATGTAAGACTCAGGTGTGCATTCAAATCAAGCTGGGGCCCTGGGGCCTGAGCTCCGCATCACCCCCAGCGCCACAGGTGGCCGCCTACCTGGCTGTGTCTCGATTCCCCATACTTCCCATTCAGGTTGGTCCGGTGGCAGTTCTTATACCACCAGGCGCCCTTGTATGACATGGCACAGTTAGTCACAGCGACATCATTGTCTCTGTCCTCTGTGGAGAAAGGGCGTCCCTGGTGATAGCTGAGGGAGTCTCCTGCAAAAAGGAACATGCATGAGGCTGTGCTGTTTGTCCCTCTTACCAGGATTTTCTGGACATCTGACCTACTCCCAGGAAACCTGGCCTCCATGTACAGACCGTCACCCACTCTCCTGTTCCCACTGAAGCCCGTGGCTGGCTGCACAGAGCTCATTCTCTACTTTATCCCTGCTGCGCTTTAACCTCTGCGCTGGAATGGAGTATTTAAAGTAAAGGATTAGGCCATCATTCCTTTATCAGGACTGATGGAACTTATGGCAGGATTTGGGGCTAGGGATATTGTGAAGAAAGCTCATGCTGTTTATTAAATTAAAGTGATCTTAGAAGAGTCTGAGGTTACTTTGTGCTAGCAGAGTCCTAGTTCTGGTTAGGTGGATTTGGAGTTGTGGTCACGGGGGCCACTCAATTCCTCCAACTCAACCTTCGGCTGCTCAGTCATCATTTTATAGGGGAGTCTGTTGCTAAGGCAACACATCATTTGATGTGTTCCATTCTCTTCATCTTCTCCTTCCAGTCTCCCAGGATTCAGACTTTGTATCCATCTAGAGCTAATCCCACCACCTGCAACTGTTCTCTATCATTCCCCATCCTGAAAAAGGAAGAAGAGATTTCTTATCTTTCTCCTTAATAAAAAAAAAAAAACAACTCAACATTTTCACCTCATTCTACTGTAAGTCATACTTGTATCCTTTACCTTAAAGATTCTTGGGCTAATCCTGCTCTCCAGTAATGGTTTCTTTAATCACCAATTCCTTGACCACACTGTCTGTACACCAACGCTCCCATCTTCTCATCCCTGCTTGTACCGCTGTGATCAGACTTTGTGCTCACTCCTCTCCTGGAACGAGGCTCTCCAGTTTCCACTTAGCTATTGCCTGCCACTGTCTTCATGTCCTCCTCAAATCTGGCCCCTTCCCCTCAGCTGCCTCGTCTGTCCCACACATCGACAGAGTCCTTGTTTCTCCCTGTTAAATCTCCATTCAGATTTACCTCTTCCTCTTAATCTCCTCATGAGCGAAGGCTCCCAGTCTCTCCTGCGAGGGTCAGCGTAGCAGCCAACAGCTAGTCTTTCTGTTCTTCTCTCAGATTTACTTCATCCTATTGAGGGCTTTCCCAGTGATCCCCCTCAGACCTCGCCTCCACTGTGCCCCTCAGGACTTACAAGGGCACCCCCTGCCCACTGTGCTAAGATGAACTTTCTCGGCTCCTTCAGGCTGAAGGCTTGTCGGGATCTGCCTCCTGCTCCGCCACCAATTTCTTTCTTTCCTACCGAACTTCTACTCTGCCTGGGACAGCCGTGCCTGTCACGTCCCTTCGGAGGAGCTGCTCCTTTGGCAGCTTCTCATCCAGGTGATGCTTTCCTTACCATTTGGGTCCTAGTCAGCACAGCTGCCATGATGGAGCCTTCCTCAACTGCCAGACCCCTTCTCTGAGCACCCTTTGGACAGAGAGTACCATTTCTTGTGTAGTGAACTACTACTTCCTAATCGTTTCTCTTCAAATGACTACTTTAGTTCTTCAGAGGCCATGTCTTATGTTCCTTTTGAGTTGCTACAACTTGTACAATAAACCTTTACAACTTGCTCAACAACCTCTTACTGATTTGGAATGTTCAGTTCTAACTCAAGTACAGTCCTCCTTAGAGACATGGGTGTTGGTAGCCTTGAGAAAGGGGAGTAGAAGGAGGAGCAGAAATTGGATTGGAGGCCCCAGGATAGTGTTTTGCTAATGGGGCCAGTACAATCGAGCGACACCTAAAGGCCAGGGAATTAGGTAATATTAAAAATGGCAGACAGAGAAGGGTAGGGCCATTCCTCCCTGGAAATCTGCTGCTCCAGAAAGAACCGCCATGGTATGGAGTTGCCCAGAGATGCATGCAGCCTAAGTAGGCTGACATTTTCACCTCCCGGAGATGAGCTAATATTGAAGATGAAGAAAAATCATAATTAATTTTTAATGAGCAGCCATGATCTTAGGAGAATTTGTCTCTGACACATAAGAGACAAATTCAGCTCAACACTTCTGCCCTCTGTGGGGACTTGCAGGGAGAGAGGGCTGAGGCACTGGTCGCAGGGGCCAGGCCTAAGTTAGATAAAACATAGGCTTGGGGTAGGAGGAAGAAAAGGGAGGAGGGAAAAAATGCAGGGAAGTGGGAGGGTGTGCTTCCTTTCCTGTAGGAGAAATCAGAATGGCTTTTCTGCAGGCACAGTTCTAATCCTGGGGAATGAATAGCATCTGGTTATTTTTGAAATTTAGTCTGACATCTTGTTTAATAAGTCCATTTCAATAGCTATTTTATGCTCAAAATGTGACAAATTGGACCTTTTGTTGGGGCTCTCTAGGCTCATCAGATTGCCATTGCTAATGATCTCCAGTATGAACAATAACAAAGGAAAGTGTGTCTTTGGAGTAACAATACTGGGCTGAAAAGAGAAATAATTGAGCAGATGCAGTCATTGGAAGGGCAACACCTTGAATGCTCTTCTTAATTCTGAGAGGTATAAAAATGTTACTAAATTTAAACACCAGCACTTAGCCCTGAAATTGGAGTTAATGAAAAGGCCAATCACTCCTTGTACCAAACAGTAGAATATCTGGCACAACAGACTATGAAAAGTGCTACAGCAGAACACATGAAACATACTAGTGAAGCCTAAGAAGCAGACTGGACTTTGTGTGTCAACAAAACTAAATGTACAGAGCTTATCAAGATGGCTGCTCTGCTCAGTGGAGATGCCATAATGTCTACATAGGAAATCTGACTATGCACATGGTCCCCTGGGAGGCCCGAGAAGCACGCAAGGGGCATTTAAGTGATGTGCTTTGCTCCTCAGTGGGCTGTTGTTGTGACTGCTGATGGAGGAGTGGGGAGGAGGCATCCCAGAGACTGGGAATCTGTGTTATTTTTGCTAGTTCAAAGATGGTGTCCTAGATGCGGGATGGTTTCCCCCAGGTGCGGGATGGTTCTGCGCCCTCTGGATAAGAGAACATATTGATTCATCTAGTTAAGAAAAATAATCCTTTGTCCTCCCTCATGGCTCTTTCTTTTTTAACTTTAGAGGCACTTCCATGGCATTTATTGAATTTTTTCTGACTATTCTGTGAAGTGAGACAGACATTATTAAAGTTTTCTAGACGAGGAAACAAGTCCTGAGAAAGTGACTTGGGGTGGCCTAAGTGGCTAGCCGAGGGTTCACGAGCCCTGGGCTCTGCTGCTTCCTGCTGCAGGAGATGCCTGACACCCAGGGCCCTTGATCTGCTGCATGCCGCTGCCCTTGGGGTGTGCTCAGGGCCCAGGTACCCGCAGTGCCATTGTAGCTTCCTATGCGGAGTTTGTACAGGCTTCTGCTGTCTTCCACAGAGAATTTGTCGTAGTAGGCGAAGGCGGCCTCCTGCCCATCCCGCATGTCCACACGCAGCTCGTAGCGTCCCTGGGCTGTGATCCTGTGGATGTTGTCCAGCCCTGTGGAGAAGAGCAGAGGCTGTGCTGAGCCTGGCCCCGGCAGCTTGGGAGATGGGAGGGAAAACTGGCTTCTCAGGTGATGGGAGGGAGAACACCCTTCTCAGGTGATTGTCAAACAGCCCCCTGCAGGCTCTGCACTTCCTGCTACAAAGAGGCGTCCAGATCTGCTGATGGACGCCACCACAGAAAGCTTGGGTCCCCGTGGCTAGTCTTGACCTAGTAACTGACAAGCTCAAACTGGGTCCCGGGCCCGGCTACCTTCTCTGCCAAATGACGCTATGGACAGAAAACGACAAGTGGCATTGTGGGTGTCTCTGGTGCGAATGAGAGAAAGCAAGATACAGAAACAGTGGAGGAGTTCAGAGCACCCTAGATACTTAGACATCCTAACATTTCGTAGGAGCCTGAGAAGGAGGTTCCATGCCTGTCATCACACTGTCGTGCGTCTGTCCTCCTCCGGGGGTCATGAGCCAGGTCAGAGAAGATGGATAGTCTTGGGCTTATGGTGATTCAGATTTCCTGACTACACGGCGGTGTGAAAGCCAGTCACATTTAGTAAAAACTGCAGTTGGAGCTTCGAATTTGAATCATCCCCTGGGTGGTGATTTCCGGGTGGTGCCCTCTCCTGATGCCAAGCAGTGGAGTGTGCTGCTGAGCTGGGAGGCTCCGTGAGTTAGGTGTATTAAAAACATTTTCAATTTAAAATGATTTTCAACTCAGGGTGGACTTATCAGGTTGCAGCCCCTATCATAAGTTGAGGGGGGGGGTCTGAATTATACTGTGCTTCCTGATTACAGCTCTTTCTGGCTCATCTGCCCGCCACACTTTGCCCTGCAGCCTCTGCTTTGGTCTTCTACCAGTGACCCTGCCCTCTCATGCCCTCTAAGCATCCCGGGTTTGGGCTAATTGATTCTTTTAAGGCATAAACCCTTGCAAATCTGAGTTAGGGTGGAGCTCAGATCCTCCTTAGTGCTGCTTTCCCATATATTTTACTGCTCCCTTGCTCTGGGAAGCTCTGATTTTTGACCTATTTGCCCCAACTTTGGACCCCTCACTTTGCATAGCGATCTCGGACTCTACCTGATTTCTGTCTGTCCACTGAACTGGGGACCCTCTCCCTTTGCGGTGACATCTGATATCTCTTCTAGTGTCTCACGATTTAGAATCAGAGAGGAGGGAAATGAGAGTCACTTAATCCTTTCCTTCCTCCAAGCCTTGGGTAGACCTTGGTCAGTGACTGCTGAGGGCATTCATGTTTGATCTTCTTGCACCAGTGCGGATTGACTTCTGGAGCTTTCCTGGAGTGAGTGTGAAGTGAGTCTCCACCCAAGGCCCATTTTACATAGTTTTTCTGGCTCTAACCTGCTTCTATTCTCCTTCTTGTAGAACCACCCCCGACTCACTTGCACAAGAATTCTCCCCATTAAGTAACTGAACAAGAATCCCTGTCTCAGGCGCTGTTTCTAAAGAACAGGGTGGGACATAACCCCTGGGTGAATAGTATTATCTCCAGAGGAGTACTGCTGCCAAAGCACACATCGCTGGGCTTCACCTCTATTCAAGAGTCCTCATTAGCTTTCTGTTACACCATCAAGACCTCTCTTTCTGGTCTTTAAGTTCCACAGTGTGCCTTCGATCAATACATCTGGTCTCGTTTTTTCCCCCTGATTTGCATTTCCCCCGGGCTGGATGGATTTCCTGCCTGCTCCTGGTTTGCTGTGTCCAGGGGATTGCTGCCTCCCCTCCATTTTTCTGACTCGTTGCTGTACCAGGAACCTGCCTTGCTTTTCCTCTGAATCTCTGTGGACTTTTATTTATTTTTTGTTACTGGAGATTGAACCCCGGTCCTTGCTCTTTCTAAGCAGGCGGCAGAACCACTGAGCTAAATCCCCAGCCCTTCTGTGGACTTTTCGATGGTAGCTCACAGGGTGGCACAGTGTTTCCCAGGATGGGAGGCAGTCTCTGACGATACGAGAAATGCACAGGAGTAAGGCACTAAGTGATCATAAACATACAGGCAGAAAGATATTTCCAAATTTTATCTCAGTCATTCTTAGTAGACAGAGAACCACCCCCTCCCTGCCCAAACCTCTAGGTCTCTGTTCAGTTCAAGTATTTTTTGGTTTGTTTAACACGCCAATTTTCTGATCTCCATTTTTGTTTCTTTTGTTCTTTTCGGTACCGGGGATCGAACTTGGGACCTTACGCTTATGAGGCAGGCAGTGGAACCACTGAGCTAAATCCCCGGCCCCTTGAGCTCCATTTTTAATACTACTATCAGGAGCAATGACAATGGGCTGTGTTCAACTGTCACTTAATAGCATTAATATTATTTCCTTTTTATTGTATTTACTTTAGAGCCCTCCTTTTTATGGCATGTGATAACCATCATTGCATTTTTGGAAGTGCTATAAAATTTCCTTAAAAATAGATTTTAATTAGATAAAAAGTGATATGTAGGAAATTTAGGTGCTTGACAGTTTAAATATTTCAGAAATATGACAAAAACTATGAGACTGGTTCACAGTAACTTAGGTTTAGGACAAAAGTTCTTATCTGCTATAGATACATTGATTCATGTGCATTTCACTTGTCTTTCATGCTGTTTGCAAATGCTTTCTAGGTAAATATATTTTCCTATTTGTTTGACTCCTCTCTCAATGCGCTTATATGGCTTTTACCTTTTACTTTTATTGGATATACTAGAAAACACAGATTTGGTTTATAATAGGTACTCAATAAATCCTTATCATTGCTTGATTGATATCTATACTTTAAGTACTAACCATCCTCTAGGCAGTGATGATAAAAGAGAAATACGATGTGGTCCCCGCTCTGAAAGAAGCTTATATAGTCAAGAGAGGCAGCAAGTAACATGGGCACTATGATTTGAACCACAAAAGAGAATGTGGCAATCCTCCCACGGGCAAGGACAACAGGTGAAAGAGATGGTTAGGACAGCGGGAGAAGGTGGGAGAGTTTAGCTGAGCCTGTGGATATGTGCAGCAGTGTGTAGGGGTGGGGCTGGCTGAGAGAGTGTTCCTTCCTTACAGGAACCTCGGCGGTCCTGTGGGTTTGGAACTTGGCTTTGGGGAGGGTAGGAGGAGGAGCAGGTGAGGTACTTAGGCTCTAGAAGGAGAGGAGAAAGGTGTTGTATTTTGGCCAAGGTGTTTGGCTTTCACGATGGTCATGAGGAGTCATTTAAAGAGATGATTCACCCTGGCTTACATCTGGGGTGTGAGGAAGATCACTGTAGTGGCTGTGCAGATCACAGGATGGTCTGGGAGTCTGGGAGGCCAATAAAGGGGTTGTTAGCTGGTCATCCGGGAGAAAACGGTGAGGCTTGGACAAGATGATGGCAGGGGAAGTGGAAAGGAGACCACAGTACAGAGCATGGTTATTTGTTTCTTCCTCTGCCCTCTTCATGAGCTGCTATGAAAATCTAACCAAGCAGGAGAGGTATGTAATCATATATAGCTGCTTTCTGCATTGGTGTCACTGCCACCTGGCTGGCTTGGGCATATGTTACCTTTCCCATTCCAGTTCAGTCCTTCATCTAAACCTGCTGTTTGTGTCAGACATCTAGGGAATTGCTGATCACCTTCAAAGATACTTTGCTGTTCCCCTTTCCTTTCCACACCAGGTGATAACATTTTCCAAGGACCTGAGCAGAGCTATTGTCCTCCTTTCTCTCTTGACCTGCAGCTTGGCTGATTCCCAGCTTTGGAGAGACGCCGAGGCTGTGCATTACTCCCCATTCCCCGCTTCCCCTGCTGGGCAGCTCACTGCCTTTGGGGCTGCTTCGTGTGGAGACCCATCAGCATAAGAGACTATTAATGAGGATGGGAAGGGACACAGCAAGGAGGAAAACACCACGTAAGATAAAAACAGATCAATAGTAGAGCCAAACAGAGCAAGAGGCACTGAAAGCAATTCACGAGATGTCAACTTCTCGATGGACAGAGGGTTTCTGATGATCCCAGGCAGACACAGAAAGGAAAGAGATGAATAATAAGCTAGATCTGCACACCACAGGGAAGCAGAAAGCAGGTGTTACCTAGCCAAAACTCATCCTCCAGGTTCCCGAAGCCCACCCGGTAGTCAGCCCATTTCCGGAAGAAATCAGTTTGGCCATTCTGACGCCTCTGGAATACCTGTGAAGAGAAGGAAGGCGCTTGAGGTGAGGCTGAAGAAAAGAAACCGCGACGGGGCCTGGGATTTAGCTCAGGGGATCGGTGGCCTGCCTTGCAAGCACAAGGACCTGAGTTAAATTCCCGGTACCCCCCCAAAACAAAACAAAACAAAACAAAAACAAAACTGCGATGAATACACTTGATATGATTGGGTTCTATATAGGCAATGACACACATTCACAGATAAGGACCATTTCAGACCAGAACTTGGGATTTGCGCCACAACATGTGGAGGGAATGTTCAGAGCCCTTCCTTGGAAGTGCGGAGGCCCCGGAGGAATAGGCTGGGGTGTGATGTTGCTGCCCCTTGTACCCTTGCAATGTATAGGGATGAAGGCTGCATATCAAGCTCCCAAATAGGGGAAATAGGTTTGACTATCAAATTAATCTTTTGCACACAGAGTAGAAGAAAGCATTTCTCACCAAAAGAATAGGACCAACTTCAAGTCATCTAGTCACTGTCATCATCTTATTGCACACAAAGCAAATGCGTATCATTCACATTCTGAGCTGGTTAAGTGCTAATTTCACTTGACCTCCAATACATCAGCCTCGGCTTCAATTTCCAATTATGCTTTAAGAAGGAGGCACAAATATGTCAGAAATATAAAAGAAAATGTCTCCCCAGAGTGGCTGTTATGAGCACAGCCACCATTTAACTCTATTCAAAGACTTCCCATTTTGTAACGTGGACAGTCCAGCACTATGTGTTTTGGCAATGCTAGAGGAAGATGTGCAGGAGTTGGGGGCGGGGGGTGCTGGGTCTGCAACCCCACCGATCACGTCAGGGGCCAGGCTGCACTGCAAAACTGCCTTGCGTTGATAGATGAGGCTGTGAGGCCCCTGACAGGCATGGGAGGAAGGCAGTGACAGCAAGTGATATCTCCTTTTCCTGAAAACCAGTGCACCCCGAAGGTTAGGACAGTTCGAAGGAAGAGCCAGGGGCCTGGAGAAGGATGAGGAAAGGGGCAGACCTTGTAACTAGAGTGGCTATCCAAGTTCCACTCCTCAGCTGCTCCCCTCTATGCCACCCTCTAAGAGAAGGGGCAGATACTTCCCACAGGGAGGCGCTTCTTGTGCTGAGGGGCTTTATTATAGCTGCTGTCATCAGCAGGCAAGATCAGCGTGGCTTTCAGGAGGCTCTACTGCTTTTCCCCAGCACCCTCCTGGATAACGGAGCAGGGAAGGCAGTCATCCTGGACATATGACTGGCCCAGGCCACCTCAGCCTTTGTATGTAAATTTTTGCCTCTGCTTCACACCATCTATGATTGGGGTGCTGTCTGAGGCCTTGGAGGCAATGAAAAGTCCCAAGTCAGATGTAGAGGGGGTGGATGAAAGGATGGCCAGAGCCTTAAGGATGTTTGCATGTGTGGAGAACAGCTGCATGTACTTACAATCCATCCTCCCCCATCTGTGGTCATGTCGCAGTACACTTGCAACTTCTGGCTGAGCTCCCCGTTGAGAAAGACGGTGTAAACCCCACTCAGAGTGTCTCCGTTCATCAAATGCTGGGCACAGTCTTGAGGATGAGAGAACACCCGACCCTCTGCACAAGAGAAGAGGTAATTTCTAGACAGTGTCCTTTTCCCCACTGTGCACAAGAGCTAATTGGATCAGATAAGGATTTAAGGGTCTCACAGGTGGTACTTCAGCAAGAACTGTAAGAATTCTCAATGAATTCAAACAGTGCAGGGGTATGAGCACTCCGCATTATTTGTGATTCTCCTCTTCCACTGACGCTGCATTTATGGGACAACAGTTTTATGAGATAAGGAGGCCGAAGAGTTGAATTCATGGTTTGGCTTCTCTACTTACCTATTTGCTTGACTTTCAGCAAATGGCCTGGTTTCTCTGAGTATCAGCTTTCTCACAAATGGAGGTAACAAAGATGTCCCCCTTGCAGATGAAGATGTCTTAATATAGCCGGTAACTGGATGGGTACTTAGGAGATGTGACAGATGTATGGGCCAACAAATCAGTATGAAGTCTGCCTTCCAAAAGTGTGAAAGGCATCTAAGCGAAGTCTTTCATCATCTTCATAGCAGCCTTCAAGGCATGCCTGAACAAGCTCAGTGTTAGTAAGATAGATATCTATTCCTTGTGCAAAACAATCTCCTGATTGTACTAAACAATCGAATGGCCATGTTTTACAGTTTGGTTTAAGTTTAAGGAGAGGGCAGGGGAAGTAAATTGCAGCTCATCTTTCAGACAGAACAGCTCAATTTGTAGAACAATATCTAATTAGCTGAAAGAGAAGCTTAAATCATGCATCTTGAGGAGCTTAGCTTTGGGACACGTTTTAGTGCTGAGCAGGCAAACTGAGAAGCAGCGAGCCCATCAGATGAGGTTTTCTAGACTGCAGTGGGGACAGAGCAAGTTAAAGGCAGAGTTTGATATGTGAGGAATGGCAGTTTGAGTACCCTGCAAATACAATGATCTGCTGAGCAAGTGAGGAGCATGGTGTGGTTGATATGGTTCTGTGTCCCTGAACGTTTACCGGTTATGAAGAAAGGCTACAGAGGCCTCACGTACCAGTCACTGCTGTGTCTGTGTTCCCTAGAGGCAGAACCAGCATACTACAAATGTGACCTAGGGCCATTTGGAAGGCCAGGTAGTGGGTCAGAGTACGTGACAGCATATTTCACAAGGAAAATGACACAGTAATCTCACTCAAAGCCCTGGTTATCTAAGCCCAGGTCACAGGTCATCAGTGAAGCGTCCTGCGTTAGGAAGGGGTTGGCAGATTTCATGCAGATCTCTCTGGATTTGGGTTAACTCCTGGCTCATGGACTGTCCCTTGGCTTGTGGCCCCAACACTTTTAAGGGGAGCACCCATTTCAAGGGGTTTGGGACAAAGGCACTGCCCACTTCAGAGAGTAACAATACATTCCTACAATACTTGTACTTTACAAAGTGAGTTTTTATTTCTACTTAATTCTTGTCAGAAACTTGAGGAGAAGGCAGATTGGTATAGATCAGAGACTCAAAAAGAAAGTTGCTCCGAATCATCACATGACTTGGGTCACTTGATCTGAAGTTTGCAGGACCCCATCACATGCTTTGTGTGCTCAACTAAAGCAGGAAATGAGATGTACACTTTGGCTCCTGGAAGCCTACATCTATCCAGGTGGCAAAGGGTTAACTAATGTGTGTATTTGTCTTACAGGCATATAAAACCCCCAAAATGCGCCTCAATAAGTTCTGTGTTCAAGTTAAATCTTTACCCCTTGAAACTGACTTCCCTAATATAATAACTGCGGAAAAGCTATTACCTTTCATCTCCAGCCTGCACTAGAATGATTTAAAGTTATTGATTCCACCTATTCTTAGAGGTGACAGTTTCATTTCAGGTGACAGGTCTCTGTCCCTCTCCCTATTGCTTTGGGAGCATGGTTATTATTTCCAAGCTATTCTTCTGTTGTGGTTATTGTTGTTGCTGTTTCTTCGTTAGGCAAAAAATGTATGTAGTTCAGGTTGGCTTTGAACTCACTATGTAGCCCAGTCTGGCCTTGAACTCATGAAGATCCTCTTGCCTCAGCCTCCAAAGTGCTGGGATTACTGGTGTGCACAACCATATCTGGCTTCTAGGCTGTTCTTGACCTGATATCTGGAGCAATGAACACATCTGTATTCTCCCTCTAACTGCCTGAGCTTCTTATTTTATATCAGCACCTGATATTCCTGGCTTTCACCTTGAAGTTACCTTATGTACTAATAGGCCTTTCTTATGAAGGAAAATTTCTTAATTCAATTGCAGCTCAACTTCTTAAAGGAACTAAACTTTCTCCCCAACATCCAGTGTGTCCTCAACAAAACACTTCCCCTCAAACTTCAAAACAACAGCCTTATTCAAATATACCTATAGAACACAACCAGGAGCATACACGGTCCTGTTTAAGCTTCACGTTGACAATGTTGGTTACTATGTTACAGATATTTACAAAGGGATCAAACATATTATTTTAAAGCTACACTTGAAACAAAAATATAATAAACTAAGATGACTTATCCTGGAGAAGGGAAATTTAAAATACATATGTGAGTCATCTAAAAGAAGGATTTACTTTTTTTTTTTTTTAAAGTCAGAAAATAGGAATAAAATCAACTTGAGAAAAAAAGTGTTGTCTAAGAGACACCAACAGTGGCTGTTATAAAGGTCATGGATGGTGCCCAAGGAGAGGAAGGATCCTGCTTTCTTCCTCCTTAGCCTCTGTGCTCAGCTGGCTGCGGAGGTACTCCTCGAATGTGCAGGAGCCTGGTACATGGTAGGTTATGCTTGTTGCACCCTTGATAAATCACAAGGCCATCTGTTCATTTATACATTGATTTACTGCAACTTAATCTGTGGCATTAGTGGGAAGACAATCAGAAAGCATTTTGCTTTTACAGACTATCAGGAGCAGCAACCTGGGATTTCCTCATCCTGGGAACTTGGAGAAGATGCAACCCTTACCACGAAACCACCTCTCTCCAACCCACCCTAGGTTTCAGCCCTGCCAAAGTTTTGCTGCATACTCACTAGTCCTGGATCAGATTATTATTCCTTTTCATCAGATAAGAAAAAGCAGAGGTTCATAGTAGTTCTCCAATTGAGGGTTCTATTAAAATTCAGATTTCTGTATTCCATTGCAGATCTACTAAATCAGAATGTCAAGGAGTAGGCCCCAAGACTCTTACTACACAGCACCTCGGGTGAGTCTGAAGACCAGCTGGATTTAAATTCCTCCATTTGTAGTGTGTATTTTCCTCTTCTCCTGAGAGGGCACCCAAAGTAGAAGTGATAAGCTAGATAATGGCCCAAGGGGACCTGTGGCTTGTGGTCTACTTTCTCTGCCTAGATTCATATGATTGGGCAGCTGATTGACCGAATAGCGCCTCTCTCTCTCTCTCTCTCTCTCCCCCTCTTCCCTCCCTTCCTCCCCACCTTCCTATCTCCCTTCCCATTCTCTCTCCCAGTAGTGGACTCTTCCCAGACTTAGATTGGATGGGATGGGATGGAGCGGGGATGAGAGGTTCTATTTAAGCTTTGTGTTTTGGTTCTTACCATTTCAGTCTGTTTGGGGGGTTACTGGACTTTGCGGGGACAAATCATTCACTCTCACCAGAAACTCATTTTTAACCCTAGCACAGATTATCCTAGTATGTTATCAAAGGTAGAAATTTCAGTTCTGAAGACAAACCAGCTTTTTCTTCCCTTTGGTGCATGCAATACATTGAGCCTGGCCTGACAAAGGAGCCTTTTTTTTTGTCCCCCTCCCCAGGCTGTGATGATTACCAAGCTAACAGGGAAGCAGTGACCAGTGATCAGTACACTAAAGTGCCTCATGGTTAAGTGCTTCTAGATGTAATTGTGAGATCAACAGGACTGGGGCACTCACCGGAAGAATTGTTCAGAAATTGGTTTATGTTGGGCATCAGAAGATGAATGCCGAGTGGAGTGAGGCTGTCTGTGAGACACAGTGCAATCAGATGGCTCCCTGCTAGCTGGGAGTGGAGGAAGAGACTTTCTCTGCCCTTGCCCTGCCCTTAGTTGTGTTGTGTGCTTGGGTTCAGTCTTTAAAACATCAGATTTAAAAGCTCTGGAAAATATCTGCCTGCTGCCCTCTTCAACGGCCTCAGCCCCAGGACTGAAGTCATGGCATCAGCACTTTTCTCTGAGCACGGCCTCAGCAGGCTTTTCCATAAGTGCAGGACAAAGTGTGGCACTTCACAGAAGTACAGGTGACCTCCTCTGCCTACCACTGCTTTGATCCCCCCCCCACCGGAAGTAGGTTTGTTGTTGGCTCTCCTTCAGTCTCCCATGTTAAAATTAATGGCCCACATTTGCAAAGTAGCTGGCTAGGCTGTTGGGGGCAGTCTGGGTCCATGACAGGGCAAGATTACCAGTTCAGCTTTCTCACAGCATCTTCCAATTCATTTACCTGTTGATTCTCTTATGTATTATTTTGACAAACATATGAGAAGTATCTCTTGGGTTCTAAGTACTGGGCCAAGAGATGTGAATATAAAGAAAAAAAGACAGTCTCACCTTTTGGATTGCTCACACTCTGGTGGGAGAAACAGACCTAAACAACCTTGAGTTTTAAGTGCTCTGGGACAGAGCTAGAACGGGAAGTTAGCAAAACATCCGTGTGGGCATGGAGTGAAGCTGGTAGATAAGGGTGAAAAGTGAGGGTCTGGGATGGAGCAGGCCTTCCTGTGTGCTCATCAAAAAGGGCTTCTTATTTTAGGAACTGATGGTTAGTCACACATTGGTGGAGAAGGAAGCTCCAGGCCTGTGTAAAAGAACAGTCTATTTTGGAAAACTGAAGATTTAGCAGGAGAACAAAGCGAGAATTGGGTTGGATGGATGCAGGGGGCTGGGGGGTGTGCAGCTGGGAATGTAGGCGGGGACTGGCCATGTACAAGGTTCTGTCTTCTGCTGAAGGTCTATTGGACTTTAGTCTTTAGAAAGACCCTTCTCTCTGCAGCACAGAGAATGAATCTATGTAGGTAGGACTGGCTGTAGGACCCCATTCAGGAGATAGTTGTAGGAACCCAGGGGGAGAGGTGCCAGCAGCCTTTAAGTGGGTAATGCCAATGGAGAATCTACTGACCAATAACAAGCATGGCTGTGTTTGTCCTATGCTGAGTTATTGAGGATGTTCCCGGAGCTCTGCAAACAACATGCCTTCTACCCAAGGACAAGTGCATTAAGTGTCTGAATATCCATTCAAAGATCAGCTAAAGGTGACTAATAGTAGGGGAATGTTCTAACATAATTTGTCTTGTTCTTTAGACTTACTTATATTAGAAGACCCAATTTCATGGCAGATCAGGTTCATCACAGACTGGCATTGCAAATGTGGCCCTTCTCTAACTCTTGATTCAATATGGCAAAGGGTTGGCCATGGTAATGCCTCCAACTTGGTCTCCTGGATGCTCTTCTGGGCCCACAGAAATCCTAATGTAACTGGAGAGATCTTTGTATATTGCCATTGTGATCTTGTCTCATCCTAGCTCTTACTTGTCAAAAATCCCTTATTGGCTTCTTCCTTGCAATTATAATAAAATACAAAATCCTTACCACGCCCTCCCTGTTTTAGCTTTGTCTTGCATGCCTTCTGCTCTCTCACTGCTCTTCAGCCTCACTGGTTTTCTTTTAATGGCTCCCACTTGCCAAACAGTGTTTCCTTGGAGGTGCACTAATTACTAATGCTCCTTTGTCTGTGATTCACTCTCATCACTCAAGGGCTGGCTCACAAGTCTCAGCTCAAATAGAGTCCTCTCCTGACCACCCTAGCTAAGCCCAAGGACTAGGATTAGGCAAGGAGGTGCTAACTGATAATAAGGAAAGGGTTCCTGCTGTGAGAGCTGTCCTCATTCATTTTCTTATCCCCTTGAATAGAAGTTTCGTGAGGATAGGCATCTGGCTATCTTGTTCCTCACTCTATCCTCAGCGTGTGGAACAGTATCTGATCCAAAGTAAGTGCCCAATAAATATTTGTTAAATGCAGGCTGCTATGCGAACACTATATCTTTCTCCTAAGATAATGAGAGGAGAAATTAAAATTAGATTTTCTGACACTTGGGACAACATAATTAAAAATAGGCCAATCAAATCCTGCATATAGTGGTGTGTAAGGACCTTCTATAACACTTACAACATCATCTTACTTGTATTACTGTTTGACAAAATTCACTAATTACCTTATGGGGGAAATCACATATCCCTGTCCTGTGGAATAGTGTAAATAACTCTGTGTAAATAAATTAGAACTTAAGTTTATGAACCACTTCCTTGAAAATAACCATCTCCCAGAGGTCACCTGAGGTGAAATGGGATAACTTGGTGTTATAACTACTTTTAAAAAATTGTATTTGTAATTAAAACCTCTACAAAGAGAATCTCCAGTCCAGGGGGCTTCCCTGTTGAATTCTACAGAGAATTTAAAAAAGAAATGCTGCCAATTTTATATAATATCTTTTAAGGAAATAAAGGGAGAAAGGAAAATTCACCATTTCTTTCAGTTAGGCCAAAATGACCCTGGATTAAAACAAAGACAAAACAGGACTGAAAACAGAGACTAGGTGGGAAGAAGTTTCAAAGTCCTACTCTTGACTCGCTTCCATTTTGCCATAGGAAAATTGTCACCTATGTATTCACGTGTAGTTGGTTCTTTTCAACTATACACATACGAGGGAGAGGAGTGAGTGACTCTAAAGGAACACTCATTTCAGAGACAGGAAGCACATTCACTCAAGAGGAGGACTTGTTGTGCCAGTAAGATCCCAGGCAAGGTGACATTGATCATATTGTGCAGAATCATGAGAACAGAATTATAATTAAGCGTGATAGCTTTATCTAAGGAAGTGAGGAAAGGCATTAACTACATGAAGAAGAACAAGAAATAAAATAGAAAGTCCTGGTAAGGACAATATAGTACAGTAGAAAAGATGAATATGGGATTCAAATATAGCTAAAATATAAATGAATGGTAAAGTATGACTGAGAAAGCCCTTAAGAGGGTAAAGGACAGCGTTAAGAGAAGGAAAACATTTTTTAAAAGTTAAGAAATTTAGAGGATAGCATACACATTTAAAAATCTAGCTAATGGAAGCCAGAAAAGGAAGAGAAAAAATAAGAGGATATTCTTAAATAAGCAATGAAGATAAATATGTCAGCACTAAAGATAAAGCACAATAGATTTAAAGGGCTCATTGAGTGTCAAATCAAAGATAAAAAGATAAGTGAACTGTAAGACGTGGAATGAGGTGGAAGATTATCAAAAAAGAAAGAAAAACATTAAAAATGTTTATATAAGGAAAGAGCAAATTATCAAATGATAAGAATATGATAGATATAAGACTTCCCATAGCAACACTACACATGAGAAGACAATGGGGTAATATTTTAAAATATGACAGAAACAAACATTATATCTAACATTTTATGTCTGATCAACTTGTAATTCAAATGTGGAGGTATAATAAAAAATAATTCCCGGGAGTATGAAATTTTAGATTTGCCTTAGAAAATAAAATCCAACATTGAAAATTTAGAATAAATACACGAATAAGCAGAATGACAAATTCTGGAGCTATGAAAACTAGAGGATGATTAACTACTTGAGGAAAATGTCTCTCTTTTTTTGTCATAATAAAACCCTGTAGCCAGAGAATAGGGAAAAGGAAAGCTTTTCCGGAACAACTAAGAGACACAGTCCACTCATTCTGTGTGGGCAGAGGTGGAGGAGACAGGTAGTGAGGCGTCCAGAGAGGTTTGCGAGTCTGTTCAAGTACTTAGATTTTTATAAAGAAGACACTATAATGATTTGCTTAAGAAACAAATAAAGGCAGAAAAACCAGAGTATGTATCTTAGATCTTAATAGCTGAGTCCATGAAAATGCTAAGAAGAGAAATACATTACGGGTAAACTGATTATGAAATAGCAAGGATAAAAGTATAAAAGGAAAACAGCTATAGATGCAATAGAGATTAAAGAAATCTTTTGAATGATTTCATACTTCTAACTTCTGTAACCCAGAAGAAATAAATGAATTCTTATAAAATTGGGAAGAGTCAAAACTGGCTCAAGAAGTCAAAGATTCATTTGAAGAGGTGATGGAAAAATAATTTGAATGTTTAAATTAAAAAAAAATACAGTAAAAGATATATTGCTACAAAATATGGAATAAGTGTGTTCAAAGCC